ATTTAGTTTTAAGATTTATGAACATATAGAATGAACTCGAGAACATTTTATATTAAATTTCAAACTTTAAGCTGTAAATCAAACTGCTCCATCTTAATCCATAGTCCCACACTGTAAATGAATATTAATTGAAATTGAATTATAAATGTCCCAACTCTGAATTCGGTGCAGTCCATCCACAAAATCCAAACTTATGGTAGGTTTGGTTTGAAATTCCCCCCCCCCCCTTTTTTTAACACTGAGGATGGAATAATTTACCATAGTTCATTACACAACAAATTATTAATACTTTTTTTTCATTAAAAATCGAATCTTTTGATTTATAAATAATAAGAAATTATAAGAAAAACTATATATATATATTTTTACTTTTGTGATTGGATATGGATAATTTTCTTTTATAAAAAAAATAGCAATTTAGTGGTAGAAAAAAGAATTATAAATAATTAAATTTAAATTTATTATTTGATAGACATTGTTTTTTAAAAAAAATTGTATAAATTAATTAAATTAAAATTTGAATTTGAATAGAATAATTCTTTTTTACCCTTTTTTATAAGATATAAACTTAAATGAAATAAAACTGGTTTATCTAAAATTTCAATTAATTGACCAAAATTTTCAAAAATACATTGATTGATAGATCTGCCCAATATTTTACAGCCATATGATTGGGTCAACATGTTTCCCAATAGAAAATTTGAATGCCACGATCGAAAATGGTTGGGAAAAGCGGCCAGAAATGTGCATGGATGCTAGCTTGTGGTCCTAATGCGTGAGTGCATTCTTTTGGGGGTAAATTTTCCCTCTCTATAGCAAAATAATGGACCGACCGAATCAATATTTTAACCATCGGAGATTTTGTATCTAAGCATGAATGTAGAAAAAAAAAAAAAATCCCATCCAACGAATTTCCACAGTATCACGTGACATTTCATAAAGTAATCACCGACCGTACAGAAAACTTTATACCCATAGGGTCATACGTACTATATAGAAAATTACGACAATGCCCAAACGTTCTCCTGCGTCGGAGGATGCAAGTCGCACGTGTGTCTCCTAGCAGCGGGGCTGTTGCACGTGATACAGTTAACTTTGCACATGTCATTTTAAAAAAAATTATCCTAATACGAAAAATAATAAAAATGGGCTTGAAAAAAAAAAAGCAAGAAGGAAGTGGTTCGCCATAAAGCTGTCCCCATTTAACGGGAACAGGATTGAAACTATGATTTTATTTTTTATTTAAAAAAGTTAAAATATAAGAATAAAAAAGGTTTTTATGTGTTAAAATTTACATTTTACATTTTTTGATATAATTTTTAAAAATAATCGTATGAATATATTAAATAAAAACTTTTTCATTATAAGGTATAGTATATATAAGATAAAGATATGGTTAGTTTTTTTTTTTTTTTTTATGCAATTTGAAGATGTAAGGAGAAATTAATAAGAGAAGAGGCAACATTGAAGCAAATATCATATCAAGTAAATATCTTAACAATTTAGTCATAAATTTTAAAATTATTTTTAACAAACTTCAAATTAAATTTAAAATTGTTTAACATTTTTGTTAATGGCGTTTTGAGTATAGATGAGTTGCATGATGATTTAGAGGATGAGCTAGGATTAATTTGTATTTGCAAAAAAAAAAAAAAAACAATTAAGGGATGTTGGAGTTGATTCTCTTAAATGTTTCGATACTTTAATCAATTAAATAAGTTATAAAGAATGTGAAGGGAAGTTAAAAAAAAAATTCATAATATCTTATCTAGATCTTTTTTTTTTTACCTTTTATATAAAATAATAGGTGGTGATGTAGGGTTTTAATAATTGATGAGATATTTATGTGAAATTCGAAAAATGATTATGCATGTAAGTGTAGGTTATATTTAAAGATCTCAAATTATAATGAACTGCATTTATTAATTTTAGCTAAATTAAAGGCCAATTTATGTATTGTGAGATGATATCATGATGAAATGTTAGAGGTGATAGTTAAGTGAACTTTTTTTATAAAAAAAAAAGTGGAGGCAAGCTCATGTTATAACGAGAAGTTTGAATGTCGATTCTCTTTAATATAAACTTGATAGTTAGGTATTTACTAATTTGATGAGCATGAAAGTTGACTTTATTGGTTTAATAGGTATAGCAACTTTCAAAATCTTGCTCAAAGCTAATCTCAATTTATTCAAATCCAAATAGGTCAAATACCTCAAAAAATGTTAAATATTAAAAATATTTTTATATTATTTAAAATTTAAACATATTTTAAAATTAAGTTCATATAAAAGTAAATTTTATTAATAAATGATCTTAAAAATCTCTATTCAAAGTGTCAATATCTGATGCCAAAAAAAAAATAGTTCTTAAATTATATTAAAACATTTAATATGATATAAGAATTTAAAAATTTTTAATATGATATTTAATTTATGAATTTATTAATAATATAGTACTTAAAAAATTATTTATTTATCATGTATCATTATTTTAAATTAATTACATTAGATTTAACTATCACATTAGTTTACAATTTATAATTTAAATATTACATTAAAAATATTTTAAATTTAAATATTATATTAAATATTTCACTATAATATCATTAAAAAAAAATTCAATACCTAACATAAATTGAGCCAACCAAACCTATGAGCTTAGCCGCTTACAGGTCTAATTGTGAATTATTTAACACCGGTATTGACTCTTCAGCCTGCATAAAAATAACCATTTGGCATTTGGGTTGCTTGTAATTCAAACAAAACAATTGATTTCATGCTGCAAGCAACTTTCACTTTCATTAGCTTCACATTTTTCAATCACGAATGAGAGGAATGTAGTACATCTGGAGGTACATTTCATTTTTTTACACGCCTCTTTACTCCTGCATTTATAGGCCGATTATATTAGCCGCTTAATTATTTTCTCTATGCCACTAGACTTGAAAAAGAAAAATGGAGCTATGTAAATTACTAATACATATAATTAAGCCAGATGTTGCTCATAAATGTTTTCGCTATGTGAAAAATTTTGTTAAGTACTTGAATAAATAAATAAGGATGGAGAATTATGGGGAAATTAAAAATGATGTATTTTTTTTCTTTTTCTAAAAACAAAGAAAAATTCTTCCGTATTTGAGGTTGGAAAATTAATAAAACAGTTAAGTCTTGACAAGGAATTTAATGTTGGCAACTATATTGTCCACCAAGCATCGCCACCGACCCAAGGTCCCAAGTCAATATATAATTTTCTTTTGAAAAAGAAAAGAAAAAATTTATTAACCAAAAATAAATCGGAGAAAAAATAAATTATTAATTAAAAAAAAATCCAATACCATTCTTTCCTTCACACCAAACAACAAGTATTAGGTGGTAGGTACGATGTACGAGTAACAGAAATGGGTACGATCGCTGCATCATATCTTCTTCATTTAATACAACCCCTTAATCAGATTTTTTAATTAATTATTAATTAATCACTCCCTTAACCCCACCTTTAATTGATTTATTTAATTTTAAAAAATCCGTTAATTTAGTTTCAAAAGGAAGGTAGCTGGAAACTGCCTGGGAAGGGGTGGCGTTGGTGCGTGTGCATTTTGAACAATTTACGGGGTTGCTTTACGGGTTCCGTACAGGTAAAGGCAAAGCAAAGAAAGCAAAAAGGTGTGAGGAGAAAGGGATGGATGACGGACAAGTGGCTGTTAAATAATAGAGACCGTTAAAGGTGTGGCAGGTTTACAGGCTGGACCTGACAGGAAAGCAGTAATGATTCGCCCTCCGATTCGGCGACCAATCTTGTCGTTTTGCTCCAGCTCAGCATTTCCGTGCGGCCGTCTAATTTTTTTTCAAGCTGCTACTTGGATTTAAAAAGAAAAAACAATTGGCAAAGCAAAGAAAAATCCCACACGAAAATGCTGTACAGGCTGGCGTCCTCAGTCAAACTCAAGACTCAAACCTTACCCAACCGTTATCATCTTTATCTCTTACAATATTAATTTTTAATTAAATATTTTATTTTTTCGTGATAAATTATGGTACGCAGACTGCGGTTTTGTCTCTATAACTTCCAGAACAGTGAATAGGAAGAAACCGTATTCTACGCTCTTAGTGTGGAGCGTGTCAGCACTCTCGCCAAAACTCCAAGGAAGCTTCTTCCGAAATCCTCTAATTTTTATCGGAAAGGAGATGTGGGTGACTGGGAGTACCCAATTTCGATATTTCCACGTCTCTAAAGTAGCTGGTTTTGCAATTTGTCGTGTACCCTAATTCTAGTGAAGCATTAAAATACAATATTTGTTTTTATGAAAAAATAATTAATAGAATTTATTGAAATAACTTTGAATTTTGGTGAAAAAAATTGATTGACGGTTGAAGCGTAATGTGTGTCAACCACAAAAACCGACAATAAAAGAACATCAAAGTAGTATTTTAAAAAGCATTTTGACAGTTAAATTAATCAAATATTAAAAAAAATAATGAGAGAGAAATTTAATAAAAAATAAAGTAAAAAATAATATATGTTTGGTTTTGATTTTGATTTTTTATATTTTAAAAACTATGATATAATTAATTAAATAAATAATTTTTATTAGAAGTTATTTGTAAGCACTAACAAAGTGATAATTATTATCAAGATACTATTGATGTGATAATTAAAATATAATAATTTGATAATTCATAAAAAATTAATTTATAAATATTTATATTAAAGATTGTAAAAGAAAATGACGCTTCAACTGAGAGGGTAAATTGAATTCGAATAATGATGGTACCGAAGAGAAGCCAAAGTTTCGTCCGCTCCACTCCATGCAAATGCAATAATTATTAATTCTCAAAAGTTTTATCTGTACAAACACAAAGAGAGTGGGACAGACGCTCCCATGTTAGAGAGTGTCAAAAAAGTGCAAAAAGAAAAAAAAAAGATATTAAGACAGAGTGACTTATGTAAATCAGTGCAGTTCAGATGTGACGCGTGTCCGTTGGCCAGCTGTATCCCAAACCCTTTCCCCCAACCGTTTAACTGGAACAATCGGTGGCCATAACGCTTCTCCTGTCTTTACCCTTCTCCGCTTTAACCGGTTACTTCCCTCTCCTCTCTTATATATACCCCCGTTCGGTATAGCTCACCCTTTGTCGCCCTTGAAGCTCCAAATAAAAAAAAAAAAAAAGAAAACCCGTATAACACATCCAAAGCACCAAAATTTCCTTTGCATGCTTTTAAATCTGATTTCATGGCTGTAACAAGCACATCAAACGGAAAAGAAATGGATCGGATCAAAGGTCCATGGAGCCCCGAAGAAGATGATTTGCTCCAAAAACTGGTTCAAAAACATGGCCCCAGAAACTGGTCTTTGATCAGCAAATCAATCCCGGGTCGATCCGGGAAATCCTGTCGACTCCGATGGTGCAATCAACTGTCACCTCAAGTTGAGCACCGGGCCTTCACCCCCGAAGAAGACGAGACCATCATCAGAGCTCATGTCCGGTTCGGTAATAAGTGGGCCACCATAGCCCGGCTCCTCAACGGTCGTACCGATAACGCCATTAAAAACCACTGGAATTCAACGCTAAAACGTAAGTGCTTGTCGGTTGGGGAAGAATGTAATTTTATTTCTAACGGAGGGTATGATGGTAATTTGGGAGGGGAAGAGCGACAGCCGTTGAAAAGATCGGTGAGTGCTGGGCTTTACATGAGCCCAGGAAGCCCATCGGGATCCGATATGAGCGATTCTAGTGTTCCCGTTTTATCAACTTCACACGTGTACAAGCCCATCCCAAGGACCGGCGCGGTTAACGTTGATGTCAATGTTATGCCAGCTGGAACCGAAGCGGCGTCGTCTTCTAACGATCCACCGACTTCACTGAGCCTGTCTTTACCAGGGGCCGAGTCATGCGAGGTGTCAACCCATCCAATTACGGAGTCAACTCAGGTGAGGAGCGAAGCGAAAAGCGAAGAAAGGGGAGGTGGAGTGATGGGGTTCAGTGCGGATTTTATGGCGGTGATGCAAGAGATGATAAGGGTGGAGGTGAGGAATTACATGGTGCAGATGCAGCAACAAAACGGCGGGGTTGCAGGAGGGGGAATGGGTATGATGTTGGACGGTGGATTTAGGAATGTTATGGCTATGAACCGAGTTGGGGTGAGCAAGATTGAGTAAACTTTTTTCAAAAGTCGAGAGAGGCAAAAGAAGAGGAAAAACAGCGCTTCTGTTTTTTCTTAATATGGGAATAATAATTTTGGTTAATGTACAGAGACTGAGAGAGAGGGGTTAAAAGGGGAAAATGAGAAGAAAAAAATGGACCTTTAAAAAAAAAACCTGTCTCTTGATCTTGTTCTTAGTAGATTTTAGGGAACAATGAAAATGGAAGAAAAGTGAATGAGAAGCAAAAAAAAAAGGAAAAACATCCTTTTAAATTTCAATCTAAGCTCTTTTAATCGTCTTTCTTATTGGAATTTTTTTTTCTTACCTAAATTTAAATCATTTTTATATGTAAATTCAAAGAATTTCTGAGCTCGGAAAGTCTACATGGTTAATATTTTTTTGCTTGTTTATGTTAGGAACTGAAAACTAAACGGAAAGATAACTGGGCTTACCGATTGTAATATTTTTATTTTAGTTCTTTTTTTATTTGTTTTTAATTTAAGTAAGAAAAAAATAGATCAAATAAAGCAGACAACTGTCAAGTTTTAAACCTGTTTCTGAAATTTAGGAACTTCCAAAAATTTGACTAGTGTTCTTTCTTTGGATCATAACCATGAAACTTTCTGGAATTTGAAGCAGACACGTTTGATTGTTTGATTGTTTGATTTGAATGATCTTAAGGCACCTAAAAAAAAGAGAACTACACGCCAAGAAAGGGCAAAGGAACTGAAAGAAGAAAAATACTTTATTTATTTATTTAAAATTATTGATAAAAGATAACGATGATAGCTTATTGGTTGCGCCTGAAGGTCAACGAAAATATCTCAGATGTATCCAAATACGGCATTGGTGAAGATGATCAGAGCCGTCACTACTTTTTTATTGAGTTGTTCAAAGTAAAAAACAAATTATTGCTTAACGAATTCGGCTTTTTTCAAAGTTTTCACATTAGATTTTAACAAAATTAGACGACAAATTGTTGCAATCAATAAATGAAACAGTGTGAAATTATCTAAAAAAAAAAAGAAAAAAGTATGGGTATGGACGTTAAGAGCGTAGCAAGTTGGGAAAAGAATAAAAACATGGGGCGGTTAGAGAAAGGTAGTTGGTATGAAGCTGTGGCAGTTGGGCGAGAAGTTTGGTTAAAAAGTCCAATTAATTAAATTAATAGAAAATTTTTAATTTTTATTAAAACACTTTTATTATTTGATAAATTTTTTATAAATAAATTCGATTAATTTTGATTTTCAAAAGGTTTTTTTTTTAGGTAACAATGATATGAATTACTATAGCATATAATCAATAATCATTGGTGAACCAATTATGCATATATAATATATGCCCAGTATGTACATACAATAGAAGGCCTCTCCAAGTCAACTTACAAGGCCACTGAATAAACCTCATCTCAGAAAAATAAAATAAAATTTATCTATAATCTATAATTACAAGTTATAGGGGAAAAAATTTCCAGGGTTCAGTGAGCACTTGGAAAAGCAAACCTAACAGAATAGTTTCCCACAATGAGGTGCCTTAGAAAAGCCTTTTGATCAAAATCAGTAAGGCTTATAAGAATAAAACTCTCAAGTTATCGGTTAGGTGAAAACTGGATGTAAGTTACATAAAAACTTCAGAGTATAATTCGGTTACTTTATACAATCACACTTAAAACTTAAGATTCATAATTCAATACTTGCATTTAAGAGAAAAACTGAAGTTTCTGCATGGGTATGGGTGTTGAGTAGGAAAGTTGATAGCAAATTGGGAAAAAGAAAAAACATGGGGCAGGGTACTTTAAAGATTCAGGATTAACTAGCTTTTGGAAGTTCTTCAGAATTTGAAACAAATTTAAACAAGAGGAACGTGGAAAAGAACAGATCATTCATTCTCAGTAATACATGGAAATCGCGTTAAGGCAATAATTCAACGGGAAGAGCTGGTTGAAACAACTTAGGAGTCAAAGTTCTAAATGCTGTGCAGAGCCTTAAATAAACCTTTTTATTTGATTAATGCATCAACTTTTTACAATTTTTGGGTTCCTTTTTATGGACAACAATATGAGAATAAGCACTCTCAACTATAAAAATAAATAGGAAACAATTTTCTCAAAATCTAAGCTAAGCGTTAGTTTACAAAGGTACGGTCTGGGTCGAACCTGAAGTAGTGCTGTTATGTCTCAATAATGCGAGTTTTGATTTGAGTTTACCGATCAAAAGCAATAGATCCTGCGCCCAGGACCAAGAGGGGTCATTTAGAGCACGGATAGAATTGAGGCAAACAAGAAGAGTACCACCTTCGTGCAGGAGAACCTGTATAGTACACAAAGAAAGAAGAGTGGTTTATCAGACTAAGATTGAGAAATCTTTATTTCTATCAGATTCATAACGTAGAGTCCAACATACATGTACAAGTAGATGAAATATGTACGAAAGACCAATCATCAAAATTGATCATACCGTTAACCACAGAGGAAGAAACCCCAAGACTGAAGGAAGAGAGGCCAAGATTATACAAGTTAAGGCAAGGGCCACATTTTGCTTGACCTGCAAGCAAATTTCCATAAAGAATTTTTGTACACATGATCAAAGAACAAAACATGAAGAAGGGATTAACTGAGCACCAGCGAAGTTGTTTGGCGAGCCTTGGCTATACTGAATGGAACACCCGAAAGGTTGTCCTGCAGCAAAAGGACATCTGCAACTGCTGTAGCAGTGGCACTAGCACGATGAGCTAATACAATTCCAACAGTTGCAGCAGCAAGAGCTGGTGCATCATTGATACCTTCACCTACCATGATCAAACCTCCCCCTGCCATGAAGGTAAACAAAATGTAACTAGCTCTTTTGGCTGAATTCCTTTTTAATACAGACAGTAATCTTGGACATTATTGACATATTAATTTGATGTCCACCACGTTAGGTAGGACTTTTGACACCAAATATCAACTGAATAAAAAGATATTGAACTTGATAAGAATCCAGGGCTCACCAATATCCCTCGAAATCTTTTTCACATGATTGAGTTTATCCTCTGGCTTTAGGCTGCAATAGACTTCATTTATGCCCACAGCATTAGCAACTCTCCAGGCACTTGACTTGTGATCACCTGTTAACATCATTACTCGGAGTTTTGCTTGATCTCTCAATTCAGAAATAACATCTAAAACCCCGGGTCTAGGCCTATCCTCGAGGTGAATCAAAGTCACCTGCACAGACACATTGGATAACTCAATTTAATGTTGACATGACAAATAATTGATGAAAGAAAAACATGATGCTGCAAATGGCACAAATCCAACAAGTAGTCTATGGAATATTCATTCAGTTTAACCTCTTATAAAAAATGCAGTTGTATAGATAAAAGAGTTAAATAATATGCATACAGAGCATGCAGTTAACAACTTTAAGGACAGATGGTTTAGAGTTAGATATAGTGTTTTGTGCATATGCATTGTCGTACCACACACATCTTTCTGATTCTTTTAACACCCAATACAGATGCATCTGCTTGTATGAGTAATACAAAAAACTAGTACATATTTCGTAAATTTTTTTTTTTTTTTCTGAAAGATAAACAGAAGATAGCTCACTTGTGTCTTGATATCTCAAATGCACGTATGTCATAATGTCAGTGTCAAATATGACGAGCAAAACAACTAACACAAGGGATGGGAGCCACACCTTTTCATTAACAGATAAAGCTGCATGAACAAAGTCACTTCCATAAGAAGAAGCATTAACAGCTGCCCTAATCTTCCTTGATTCATCTTCAGATTCACAAAGTGAAGTGATAAACTCTACAGAACCAAGTGATGCTTTCAACATTTTACCTCCTCTAGTTCCTGACTGTTACAAAAGTAGAAATGATTATAAGTTTGGGAACACATTGAAAAATATGATGGTTTTAATGTAAAAGAAGGAAAGTTAGCAAAGACTTCGCTGTGAATAAATCCTATGCTCGGTTTCTTTATCATATTTCAAAGGTATGAGTCTTGTATTAAGATTTAAATATAATTCAGGTTGAGGAAAATTATTCACTCATCCTTCATTTTGATCATCTGTTGCTTAACATGAAAATTTTGAAGGGATACTAAAGTTTTCTTTTTGGCTTTCTTGTTCTTTTTTAATTTTGTTTGACACTTCCATCTTGATTAATTGATAATAACGTCAATGAAAGGGGCTTTTAATGAAAAGATAACAATGCCTATTGCTTTCCCCCATTTTCTGTCTTTTCCGCAAATAGCTAAGACTGTATCCTCTAGTGGAAGAAAGTAAAAATTTCAATAACTTTTAAGTGCCAAAAATAAAACCATGGTAGTTTTGCAGAACACAGAAACCCCAGTAGTGAAATTGTAAATCTGCTATGTTATGAAAGTACCATAATAGATGAACCGCAAACACAAAGTATAGAGCAAAAAGGAGAATTCAAATGGGTTCAGAAATGAAAAAAATGGTGATGTCAACAAACTTGATGATAACTCCTTTCCCCATTTATATTGAATTTATTATCACTGAGACAAATGAAAAAAGTTAGTAAAAAACACATTACCTTGGCACTGTTGAGAGAAGCAATAAGACCTCTGCCAGGAAAATACTCGAAACTTTCAACAGAAACAGAAGGAAGATCTTTCCCTATGCTATGGTCTACAACCGCCCTGCAATAAAAGGAATGATAAATACCTTTTTTTGTTCAAGGAATGATAAATACTTTGAAGGACAATAGTTTATAAAAGAAATATGACAATCGTTAAATCTCAATGACAAGGTGAGTGGAAATTACTTATCGCCCTCAGCAACTTATTAGAAAGCCATAGTCACAGAATGAGTTACATGGAACACAGGGACTTAACGTACAAATGATAGACATTTTTGTTTTATGCAATACCTTCCAATAGGATGAGTAGTACCCTTCTCCATGGCAGCTGCTACTGCAAGTGCTTCTACTTCACAGCTGGGAATGCAACAGGAAGAGAGTTTTACCTTCTTGTTTCCGATGACATGTCCATAAATTGGCTCAATTGCTTTAAACATCAGCCCTCCAGTTGTCAATGTCCCAGTTTTATCAAATGCAACAGTGTGACAGGAAGCTAGAGCATCTAGCACTTGCCCACCTTTAAGCAATATCCCCTATAAGGAGAGACGGTCAAAATGGCAGTTAGACATAAAGAAGGTCAGGTGTATCTCATGATTCACTTGAAAATTAAGAGTACTTTAATAGTTAAGAATTAGATATAAATCTAGACTTCTATGAGCATCACCAAGTACACAGACTTGTTTCAGCGACCTCTTAGCTATAGCCACAGTCCAAGAAAAGAAAAAGCTAAAATAATAAAAAGCCCCTGAACTTTACCACTTTATTTAAATAAGTCCCTATACTTTTATTGTATCCAAATAAGCCCTTAGCCTTTACTTTGTACCCAAATAAGCCCTTAAACTTTAATTTGTATCCAAATAAGCCCTTATGTTTTAATTTGCACCTAAATAAGCTCTTAACATAATTTATTTTGCACCTAAATAAACTCTTAACATAGATCAATCTTTTGTTAGAAATAAGGGCATACTTGGATACAAATTAAAGAATAAGAGATTATTGGGGTACAGTAAAAGTATAAGGACTTATCTAAATAAAGTAGTAAAGTTTAGGGGCTCTTTTAGTATTTTAGCCAAAAGAAAACAGCCAATTAGCTCTAACACAAACTTGTGCAGGTTAAAAATAATCAGGAACATATACACAAAAATACAAAATTTATCAAGTTACTAGAAAAGATTACATAAAAAAGGTTCCTAGAAAAGATGGTTCTACTAATAGTACAATAAGAAAGGCATGTTTTTCAGAACAGAAAACCTATATAAGCTGATTCTACCATAGTAGAGAAAAATAACAATAGTTAAGTTCTCAGTCTGAGGTATCACAATAATGATAATTATAACCATATAGCAATGTGGTTAGCTTCCATTATTATTTTAATAAATGAAAATAATATGTTCACAAACAAGGCTCATATACACTTGAGAAAGGCCATGCCGAGACAGAATTTTTGTCTGAACACTCTTTGGTTACATGGGACTGATACCTTTCTTGCACAGGAACTAACTGCAGTAGCATAAGCCAGTGGAGCTACTGCCAAGGCACATGGGGATGCTGCCACCATAAGCCCCAATGCTCTGTACACTGATCCTCTGCAAACTGCATTAACCCAAGCATAAAAAATGGAGAAGGTAACTCAAAATAGAAAATTCGCAAGGGCCATATAAATGAATTGTTCAGAGGAAAAGCAAGACAACTAACGCTTCAAACTGAAAAGACTGAAATTATTTTAGCGAGAGTTGATGTAAAGTGGAGTTATCATCAGTTATGGTTACTAAAATTAAGACATGTTAGCAAAGAGGCCTTACTGGGAAGATAAAGAGGTGTATACCATGGCTAACAATATTACTGGCACAAGGCAATAGAAAAAAACAACAAATGTGATCATTGCAAAGCAGCTCGTACTAAGCGTTACCTGCAGTGCTAATGAATGGCCACTTAAAAAGAAAAGGCCCGAGGACTGCGATAGTAACTGACAAAACTACAACCACCTTGCTGTAACGCTCACCAAATTCATCCAACCACCTTTGAAGCTTAGGTTTATTCAATTGTGCTTCTTCAGTTAACTGCACAATCCTGCTAAGCGTTGATTCTTTCCATGTCTTTATGACCTAATATGAAATTAACAACGAAAAAAAAAACAAAGCATAAGATAAGGATGTGAACTAGCAATGACAAACAAACAATGATTCACTCCAAGGAAAACTATTTACTTTTGAAATTAACAATTTCAACATAAAAAAGAAGAACGTGAGTAATCGTTGATAACTTTTTCTACATTTACCCTTCTGAAAAATTCAAATGTTGATAAATTCATAAACACACCTTAACAATCATTCTACCATCCAAATTCCTTGCACCACCGGGAATCCTATCTCCAACTTTTGCCTCGAATGGTTTGATTTCACCAGTCAAATGCTCAATTGTAATAGTAGCACTACCTTGAAACACTTCACAATCTACAGGAACAGCCTAGAAAAATAGCAGCCCATACCCTTAAACTTCCATATTATAACATAAATAAAAAAATGTTCAAAATATTAACCCAGTATAACATCCATATTCTTATTATCACCGACCTCACCAATGCCGACCAAAATGTAGGACCCAACGTCGACATCATACACTGGAACACTTCTGTAGGACAAATCAGAAACATCTGGCAAATTATTATCATCCAAATCTAATATAAGTGCAGAATCTGGATAATTTTCCTTCAACTCCTTCACATCCACCATGGAACGGCCAGTGAAAAATTCTTCAGCTGAAATAAACCCACTTTCAGGATCACAACAAAGAAACATAAAATATGCCTCTAAACAAATTTCACCAGCTTGTAAGACTTACCAATGTGAGCCAAATTGAACATTGCAAGAAGCAAGCCTCCTTCCAAGGCATTCCCCATGAAAACAGAGGCAAAGGCCGCGAGTGCCATAAGCACATGAATATTAACTTTTCCACCGGCAATATCAGTAATTGCATCAAGTGCTGCTGAAACCTGACGCATACAAATAAAACGCAATACAATTAAAGCAATTTAAAAAAAAAAATCAAGGCTTAACAAGGTTGTTGCTTTTAATACTTAATTTTTGTTTCATCAAGAACTGCTCGACTAAAAATGAGTAAATAGTAAAACCAAATATCGAATCAAACATTATAACTAGGTCTTTCATAAAAAAGTTAAAATTTTTTAATATTTTGAAAAATATTACTTTTGATGCAAAAATAATAACCAAAGGGAACTTAAAAAGAGAATTGGGGTTTACCCCAACGAGAGGGAAAGCTAGGAAAAGGAAGGAATTTTGGAGAGGCTTGACGGCTGGTTTGGGGAGCAAGTAAGGGCAAGCAGCAACAGCAATAAACAGTGCGGTGGCGCAGCAGCAAAGCTGAAGGTGCTCCCTCAAGTAATTTGCCAAGTCCACCCATCGGATGGCTTTAGCGAACCCGATCACTGCTCTCTGGGGCCCATTCAACTTACCGTGATCATGATGATGATGGTGGTGGTCGTGGTGATCGTGGTGATGATCATAGTCATGATGATGATGGTGGTGGTGGTCGTCGTGATTAGCGACGCAGCGGATTCGGAGATTGGGGGAATTGAGAGTAAGAAAAAGGGATTTGTGGCGGATGATGAGGGGAGAGAAAAAGAAAGGTTTACATTTGAAAGAGTTGAGACGTCCGACGAGTGGTCGTCGGCGTATGGGGCGACTGAGAGGTGAGAATTTGGTAAGTGAAATGGACTGAGTTTCCATTTGATTTCAGCCTCAGGCCATGAATTTTTTGGGTCGCGGCAAAGGCCTTGGCTTGAAACAGCGAAAGGGAGAGAGAAAGTATTTATTAATAATAGTATTAGCGAGTGAGTGTGTGGGTGTTGGGCGATGGGCATTGGGCAATTGGGTAATGCCAAAGAAAATAATGGCGCATGTTGTAATAAGAGCCACACCATGAGCTCATCTTTACCACATGACTCACGGCAGATGCTTGCTATTTGGTTCGGACAGTGACAGTGATGGGGCTGGTCCGGTCCATGAAGATGGAAGTTTCATTTCGTTTACATTTGGAAGTTTCTACTTTGTTACTGCTTTATTTTATTTTCATTTATTATATAAAAATGGTGATATAATTAATTAAATATTAACTCAATGGCATGCATGTTGATGATTGGATTTTTAAAAGTTATGGGTTGGATAAGACTTCGACCATAACTCATTATTTGAAGTCACTTAATAATGGTAAGAGATGAAGCTTAAATTAAAATTTTCAAAAGAAAAAATAATGGTATAATTTTTAACTTCATTAATAATTGAGATATTCAAAAAGGTGTTTGGGTGGGTTTAAGAACCCTAATACCTTTTGGATAAAAGAATTAGATTAGGTGAAATATGTTGGTTTAAAACTCCAAATTTTAAATTCAGCTCATCTCATATACTCAAATTTAATATTAGTAATAGTATTAGTGTCACCTTTTTATTTTGTTTCGTGCGTGTGTATAAATGGTACTTGAGAGTAAAGTCTAGCTTAGCCCAAAATTGACTTTGACCCATAAATATTATTGTTTCTTTAATGGCAAATGTATTTTCATCAGGCTTTTGTTCATGTTTTCGTCGTTCCAAAGTTTAGTGATGAACTGACACAGCTTGGAGAGTTGGTACAAGATATTAAAAACATACGAGTGAGATTGAGGCAGCTCCTTCTAAGGAAGAAGAAGCGAAACTTCGCCGTAGCACAATGAAAAAGAAAGATATCAGAGAAAGTTCCCTGGACTCTTGTAATGGACACTTTATGGAAGACGTTTATGTTAGGATTTTTGTTGAATTTGAAGTAATAAACATAATAATATAAAAGTAATATATCGTAATAAACTCACAATAATAAATAACAATTAACAATCAACAATTAATAATATAAAAAAAATAAAACACATCAAAATTTACATAAAAAATCCTTCCGTGTAAAAGAAAAAAATTACAGACTACAAAAAAAAATTTCCACTACCAAATAATAGATATACAAATTTTTTCTCTAATTAAAACTAAAACTAATCAATAACTAGAGAGACAATTGGAGAAATCTCACCAAATAAGTGACTTAATAAATATACTCTGAATTTGTTCATACAGAACTTCAAACTCGATCTTCACCATTCAAAATATAGAACTCTGAATCATAAACCTGCTAATAAAATTTCAGCTAAATTGGATCACGAATCAACTTTCATTCAACCAACTTTCCCTTCTTTTTTTTTCTCTATTTTTTTGGCTTCTTTTTTCTCTTTTTTTTTTCTAGGTTTGTGGCACCACCTTTTTCTTTTTCACCATAAAACAATCCCACATCTTTTTACTAAGTAGTTAGGGCGCTTTTAAGAAAGCTTAAAAATACAAGGCCCATGGCCTTTGAACTGTAAAAAAACTCATGGGGCTGGACCCCACTTTCCTCTAACAATCTCTTATTCTAACCCCATTAGGAGGAGATTCATCACTATAACAATTTCATTTAGAATTTACCTTGATCAAGAAACTCATTTTGGCTAAGTTAGTGCAAAGCTCAAGCTTCTCCCTAGAAAGTATCTTAGTCAACATATTTGTTAAATTCTCATTAGTATGGGCTTTCTTTAATAGCATCTCCCTAGAAAGTATCTTTTTTTCTCTCTATTTTTTTGGTTTCTTTTTTCTCTTTTTTTTTTCTAGGTTTGTGGTGCCACCTTTTTCTTTTTCACCATAAAACAATCCCACATCTTTTTATTAAGTAGTTAGGGCGCTTTTAAGAAAGCTTAAAAATACAAGGCCCATGGCCTTTGAACAGTAAAAAAACTCATGGGGCTGGACCCCACTTTCCTCTAACAATCTCTCATTCTAACCCCATTAGGAGGAGATTCATCACCATAGCAGTTTCATTTAAAATTTACCTTGATCAAGAAACTCATTTCGGTTAAGTTAGTGCAGAGCTCAAGCTTCTCCCTAAAAAGTATCTTAGTCAACATATTTGCTACATTCTCATTAGTATGAACTTTCTTTAATAGCATCTGCTATTCCTCAATCACTGAATGTAACCAGTGATATCTAACACCAATGTGTTTTATTTTAGCATGACACATGGTATTCTTACTCAAATTTAAAGCACTCTGACTATCACATAATATCACATACTCTTTTTGATTCAATCTCAATTCAAGAAAAAAATGTTTCATCCAAAGTATTTCTTTACCTGCTTTAGTTGCTGTAATATACTCAGCTTCTGTAGTTGATAAAACAACACACTTCTGTAACTTAGATTGCCAAAACATAGCTTCTCTTGTAAAAGTGAACAAATATCTTGAAATAGATTTTCTACCATTACGATCACCTATTATGTCAGCATCAGTAAACCCTTCTAGAACTGGTTGTGAAACTTCATAACTCAAGTACATTTTTTAAGTGCCCCTAAAATATCTGAAAATCCATTTCACTGTTTCCCAGTGAAACTTTTTCGGATTAGAAAGAAATCTGCTTACTACACCAACTGTATGAGCAATGTTAGGTTATGTATAAACTATAAGATACATTAAAGAATCGACTGTAAAAGAATAAAGAATACTAGACATAGCCAATTACTCTTTTTTAGACACCGATTAAGATTTCTTACTCAAATGAAAATGATTGATAAGTGGATTGCTAACTAATTTAGTATGTTACATGTTGAATCTACTAAGCACCTGTTCAACATATTTTTGTTACAACTATAACTTTTCAGCTCTTCTATCCCAAATAATGTCCATACTGAAAATCTGCTTTATTGAACTTAAATCCTTCATATCAAAGGATTTATACAATTGTTCTTTTAACCTGCGAACCATATTAACGTCTTATCCTACAATCAATATATCATCAACATATAATAAGAGAATAATGAAGTTACCATCAGAGAATTTTTTGACATACACATAAGGATCCGCTACCATTTTTTTATAGCTGTGGTTCACCATAAAAAAATTAAACTTTTTGTACCACTATCATAGAGTTTATTTCAAGCCATACAAACTTTTTTTCAGTTTACAAACTAAGTTCTCTTTCTTTTTTACTTTAAAACTCTCAGATTTATTTATATAAATATCCTCCTACAAGTCACCATGTAAGAATGTAGTCTTGATATCAAGTTACTTAAGCTCAATATTCAAACTAGCTGTTAATTTTAGTACCACTCGAATGAAACTCATCTTCACAACTGAAGAGAAAATCTTATCAAAATCGATGCCTGGTTTTTGAGAAAAACCTTTCACCATCAATCGAGCTTTGTACCTCACTAGCTTGTCATCATTTTTTTTCAACTTGAACATCTATTTATTTTTCAACGACCTTTTTTCTTTTGAAAGTTTAACAAGATTATAAGTACCATTTTTTCGCAATGACTCAATCTCTTTTTTATTGTTTTTAACTAGTGCTTTCTATCCAGAGTAGCTTGCACATTTTAGAAGCTTTCTAGCTCCCCTTCACTGGTAAATAAAATAAAATAAAATATGAACTTGGATACATGATATATGGCCTGTGCTTTCTAGTAGATTTCTTAGGCTGAAACTTTACACCACCTGATGTCAAAGGTTACTGGTAAATAAAATAAAATATGAACTTGGATACATGATAGATAGCCTGTGCTCTTTAGTAAATTTCTTAGGCTGAAACTCTACACCATCTGATGTCAAAGGTAACTCCCCCTGTTCAACATTCTCTGGTGGAAAAGATTGCTCATTCTGTTCAAAACTAATTGCATCTGATTCATCATTAGCTGTGGTTGGCTCATTTATATTCTCAAGTTCTATTTTTTACTCATTTTCACTATCTATGGCTCTTTCTTGTAAAACTTTTATTAGTGTTGAAACATTATAGTCAATAATAACCCATGTAGTCTTCTCATTTTTCTCAAGGTCTGCTATAATTTTTTTCATAAAAGATCACATATCTGCTTTTGACTATTTTTTTCTTCACTAGATTCTATACCTTGTAGCGAAATTTCTCATCACCATAACTTACAAACATGCATTGTGTGGCTTTACTATCAAGCTTTGACATCTATTTTTTTTGCACATGCATGAATGCTTTACATTCGAAAACTTTTAAGTGAGGTAAGAAACATCTTTTTCTATCCACACTTTTTCTGAAATGTCAAAGCCCAAAAGAACTTATGGTGATCTATTAAGCAAATAACAAACTATGTTGACTGTTTCACCCTAGAATGGCTTTGGTAATTTTACCATCATCAACATACATCTAACTTTTTTCACAATGATGTGATTCATCCTTTCAGCTACACCATTAAATTGTGATATTTTCAGGTAAGGGTGTAATCAATCGAGTTCAAGCTAATACAATATTAAGCTCGAGCTCGATTTAAAATTCAAAACTTGAAACTCAATTCGGACTCGATCGATTTTTATTTTTTAGCTCGAGCATGAGTCAAGATAGAAATCGAGTTAGTCGGCTCGCTCGAATAGGCTCGATTAATATGTAAAAATAAACTTGATTTTTATGTTCAACAAAAGCTCGATTATTTGTACTCGAGCTCAAACTCGAATTTAAGATATTTTATTAATTAAAATAATAAAAATATATTTAAATATAAAAGCTCGATTATGCTCGCGAGTTACTCGAGTCGGGTATATGAATGCTCAAACTCGGCTCGATCTGTAAATCGAACTACTCAAGCTCAAGCTTGACTCAATAATAATCGAGCTGAATTTGAGTTTTATTCGAATCAAATCTAAGTAGCTTATGAGTACTAATATATAACTTACACCTCTAGTTCCAGGTTCTATCATCTCATGCTTGATCCTATGCTTTAAAAATTACTTTTCAAAGTCTTTATATGTGTATTCTCTACTATTATCAGTTTGAATATACTTCAAGGGTAACCCTATC